ACATAGGAACTACAAAGAATTAACATTTATGTACATACTAACATTTTCAATATTTAAGCTGTATATTTGAGAGATTTTCTATAGATTTTAAATGTATTATATAGTCCAGCAATATATTATGGAATTGTTATGAACCCGTTCATGTTACCAACTTTATGAAGATATACGTGCTTTATGGAAATGAACACAAGACCCTTCCAAAAAATAGCACATTATGTTAATGAGCACAGTAACTTATTCCCTATATCTCGATAATGTTTCTGTAGATACTACCTGTGAAATGACATTTTGCGTAGGTGGTATTGGTCTACGTTAGAAACTGAAATTTTGATTTGGTTTCCCGTAGTGTTGACCGGAAAGCAAGATTGTTCAGATGTTGTACGAATCATAAGAATAAGGGACTAACTGTTGTCGTGGGATGGAGATGAAAACCTCTGCAGTTTACACCTATAGGCTTCAAGTTGTATTTCCGCTATTAAAATACCTGATAATACTTGTGCCTTGTCTTTTAAGACATCTAATGTTGAAAATTATTTGTATGTATTATATAATAATGCACGAGGGTATGCCAATATACTGAAGGTGTAATAAAGTTTTGTTGCATTTGGTTCAGGAAGGATCATCACACCGTCTGTTCACATTGCAAAGGAAGGGAAGCTGAGCTATATTGTAAAACGGTATCTCGAGGTAGGGCATCCGTTGCATCTCTACAATTTGAAATGGTTTTGGTTTTGTGTACAGGATGGTTACAGTTATTTTTTAAAGGACAAAAGTCACAACAATTGGTATTGTGGTTGTAGTGTCTGAGCTGGAGATGCATTTTGGGAAGTTGTGGACACAGTGTCAGGAGTGCCAAGGTTCACTTCATCAAGATATTCTCTGCACAAGGTATGTCCATTTAGTGAAATTGCTTGGATGGCTAGGGTTCTCAAATTTTTGGTTTTAAGAGGCACCGCATCACCGTATTAATTAATCAACATCCTGGAGTTAGGGTGTTTTTTACCCCCCTAGTCTCCGGCTTGTTCAATGCCCAGGCATAAAAAGTGTCAAATTATTGTGATTTCTTGGTTTCTTACTCGTGTTTTTCCATCTATCTTTTATGGTTTTTGTAAAAGAACTAGTAATTTCGTTTGTGGTTTGGTTTCTCATTGTTAGACTGTTACCATTGACATATCGTGTACTAATTTGGTGTAGTCGGGATTGTCCAATCTTTTATCGACGAAAGAAGGCACAGAAAGAAATGTCTGAAGCACAATCACAATTGGACCGGTGGAGCTTTTAAGTTTGGTCAAGGTCAGTTTTTTTTTTTCAATTTTCTTCCATCCCCAGTCTTTTGTCTTCACACTCTTTTAGACAATGAATTTCATCCATTCATTAATCCAAATCCAACTATTGCAATTGAAATCACTCTAACATTTAGTCATCAAAACTAAATTGTATTTTGTGTAACATTTGAACTTTCTCCTCAGATTCTGCAGTTTTGGGTATGTATATGCACGTGCTCGTGTCTAGGGATTATTTAGAGATTATTAGGTGGGAATCGGGCCCAAGAGTATTCAACAAAATTCTATGATTATCATAATATTTTAATTTTTAAACATAAAACGACGATTTCATTCCATTTATTTTTTGATAGAAATTATTTACATTGAATTCTAATTCTTAATATTTTAAGATGAGCAATAACAATAGTTCCATGTATTGTCAATAATAATATAGAAATTAAGTATTAGTATGAAGAAAAAAATTATTGACATTATGGCTCTACTTTTAGAAGAGAATGAAAATTTTTATATATACCTTGTAATATCTTTATTTTTTTTAAAGGTAAAAAGTAACATCATAATGAAAAGTTGTATTTATCATGATCTCAAAAGTTTAGTATTTATAATTAAAAAAACTGAACGAAATTTCATATTTTAAAAATCTCAAATTAAATTTTAATACTAAATTTCTTTTTAATAGAAAAATTGTATTTAAAAAATTCTTATCATCAACATTTATACCAAAACAATATTTTTAATAGATAAGATTGCATTTACTTCAATGTTAAATGACATTCATATGGCTTTAATAAATTATACTTCATTATTTTTTTAAAATAAAGCAACACTTATTTCTCTTATTTTATTTGAAAATAGCATATTTATTTAAACTTAAATATGTTATTTTTTGTTAGTGCCAATAGATCTCAATCAAAAGGGGTGAATTGGTTTAAAAAGTTTTTGACATTTCTTTTCAAAAATTATGGTGTATGATAGCTATTTCAATAAACCTTTGCAATCTTTCGAAGATATAAAAATTAAGCAAAGAAAAAGAGATAAGAATCACACAAGAATTTATACTAGTTTGATTCAAGTGAGTTTACATCTAGTCTTCTTCCAAACAACCTAAATTTGAAAGGATTTTCAGTGTGAAGTAAAGTTTTCAGATTTACAAGTTCACCTAAATAAACCTAAACTCTTTAACAATAAAAAATTGAGTCTAAACAAGTGATACACATAATCACTTGCCTACACAACAAACACAGAGTAGGAATCAGATTTACAGTAAACACAAGGACTAGAGTACACCTCAAGTGTGAATATCACAGTAGAACCAACATGGACCAACAACTTTCCACGTTTAGCTATGTCTTTTCTCTTCTTGGAAGCTTTTTGGTTGATTTCTAAGCCCCGTAGTGTGCTCTCCAAGAATGTTGATTGCCTTTCTTTCTTTTAACAATTGACTTCTTGTTTTATTACATTTTTCACTTTAGAGATGAAGGAAAAAACACATATTTATCTACTCAATTTAAAATTCATTTCAGTATATTAGTAAATGTGGTAATCGATTAATATGAACCTTTCAGAAATGCAAAAAGGACATCATAAAAAACACATTGTTATGTTTGCTTCTCCTTTCAACAATCGTTCCCTTTTTTGATGGCCATCCTATACGCCTGCATTTATTAACTTAACTTTCTTCCCTTTTGGGCATTAACAAAAAGAAAAGATCATCTCACAGGATAAAGAACACAATTGAACATAACAAGCATAGTATATTTAAACATGGTTGACAAATAGCAAGTAGAACAGAAGTTTACCAAGCAGAGCAAGCATGACAGTTTAAAGTGTTTAGACAAAAGGTTAATGAAAGATAGAGAGCATAAGTTCTAAACAACCAAACACATGGCCAGATGTAAGAAGTATCCAGTGTAGAGTTTTTTGTTAAGGGTTATATAGTGAAGTGCTTAGTGCAGGATGAAATCAGTCAGTATCTACATCTTCATTATCCTCATCCTTTTTCTCAGATTGTTCATTTTCCATGTTCTGTTCCTGGAGCTGTTGTTGGATAGCAGCAATCTCCTTGCCTATATCATCAAATCTGGATAAGTATGTAGAATGGTTGGACACCAGGGTCTTGAGCTGCTTCAGTACACACTTCTCAAAGTGATTATTGGGATGAACAGTTGGGGCACCATTCGACAGATCCACATTGACACGATCAACATCTTCTCCTAGACATGTTTGAGGTTCATCTTTGAATTCCCACCCATCATCATTCTTCCTCAGTGGCCCATGTGGTGAAGGGTAGTTTATACAATTTTGTTTGTGTGGGTGATACCCCTTGAGACCTCATCTTCAATGTCAACTTTGAAGAACTTAAACACCTTGGAAAGGAATGTAGCATATGGTAGACTTGCCATAGGGAGTTTGGTGGCTTTGATCATATTGTCACTACTGACAGTGGCCTAATCAGTCTGAATCTGGCCCTTTAGGGCATGGATAAGGTAAATGTCCTATGAGTTTAGCTATGTGTGATTGCTCCCCCGGGGAAGAATAACCCACGTAAGAACAAAAACATACAAACGATTATCTTGTTTCATCCCCCCTGATTGGAACAGGGTGTAGTCCTTAGGTTCATCAGGATATTGAAGGCAGGCTTGGTACAAGGCCAACTTGTTTAGTCCAAGGAAGTCGTGATGAGACTTTACCCCACCAAGTCTAAAGACAACAATAGAAGTCCATATTTCTTCATCTAGACAACAATAGAAGTCCATATTTCTTCATCTAGACAACAATAGAAGTCCATATTTCTTCATCAAGAGTTACATCAACCCCTTTTACCTGTGAAGAGATAATACCATCCGCAACCTTCATATTTGCATAGAATAGTTTCACAATATTAGGATACCACGTATCTGTCATTTGTGATAACCAGTTTTGAAACAGGAACCCTTCAGTACAGAAATATTGAATGTCTAGATACTTGTGGGTTACAATGTTCCAAATGTGCTAGTAGCAGATAAAGTTTGTTTGAGCTTCCTCATAAGTTATTTGTTGGATTTTATCGAAGAGTTTCAAAGGAGAGACACTAATGAGATCTGAAACCAACCACATAAGGGATTGACACAATTTTCTATCCAAAACCTTAAGGCAATGTGTGAATGGGTCTTCACCTTTATATGGTGCTTCACTTTCTCATCTCTACCCAATGTGAGACTTAGACTCACACTTGGATTCCCATCAATCTCCTTCTCAAGGGTGAGTCCCTCCCACATTAGTTCACTCTCCCTCTAGTGAAAGTATTTCCAACCATGGGTACCCCTTTTCGTAACCATCTTAACGGAACACGCTTACCTGAAACCTTTTTCAGGAAGACTTTCGATACAAGGACCATTGTATTTGCTGAGCTGATCACTAAGACGAACCTTAACTCTAATACCATTGTTGGGTTTTTATCGAGGAAGAGTTTCACTAGAGAGACAAACATCAACGAGATTTGAGCTTAACCACATAANTTATTTGTTGGATTTTATCGAAGAGTTTCACAGGAGAGACACTAATGAGATCTGAAACCAACCACATAAGGGATTGACACCATTTTCTATCCAAAACCTTAAGGCAATGTGTGAATGGGTCTTCACCTTTATATGGTGCTTCACTTTCTCATCTCTACCCAATGTGAGACTTAGACTCACACTTGGATTCCCATCAATCTCCTTCTCAAGGGTGAGTCCCTCCCACATTAGTTCACTCTCCCTCTAGTGAAAGTATTTCCAACCATGGGTACCCCTTTTCGTACCCATCTTAACGGAACACGCTTACCTGAAACCTTTTTCAGGAAGACTTTCGATACAAGGACCATTGTATTTGCTGAGCTGATCACTAAGACGAACCTTAACTCTAATACCATTGTTGGGTTTTTATCGAGGAAGAGTTTCACTAGAGAGACAAACATCAACGAGATTTGAGCATAACCACATAAGGGATTGATACCACTCTTTACCCAAATCCTTAAGACAATATGTTAAAGGGTCTTCACCTTTATATGGTGCTCCACTTTCTTTTTTCTACTCAGTGTGAGACTTAGACTCACTTAGTTTCCCAACATTATCCAACCATCAATGTTTGTTGGCCTGGTTTTTCTGGCCATGCTTTTGAACCTCTTGGACTTGGAAGATGAAGACGTCATTGATAGTGGTTTGAGAGGAGAAATTTGGATTTCGTGTGTGAGGATGCAAGCAATGAGTGTGTGAGTGTTTGTTGAATAATATGGATTAGGTGCATAAATGCTTGTTGGTGTATTAAATGCAAGTAAGTAATGAGCATTGAATGCAAAAGGTATGTTATGCATAGAGGATATAACATAGGTACCAGCTATTACCTGGTTTCTTTTGTTTTTCAAATTTATTTATGATACAGCTGAGTAAGTGTTTGAATAATCGATTAGGTAAAGATACAGAGACAAGAAGCACACAAGAATTTATATTTGTTTGACTCAATTGAGCTATCTCTAGTCTTTTTCCAAACAATTCGAGTTTATAAGGATTTTCACAGTAACGATGTAGAGTTTTCAGATTTTTACAAGTTCACCTAAATAAACCAAAACTCTAACAATCAAAAAAAGAGTCTAAACAAGTGATTGCTACACACAATCACCCTTATCACTTGCCTACACAACAAGCACACACAGTAGGAATCAGATTTACAGTAAACACAAGGATCAGAGTACACCTCAAGTGTAAATATCACAGTAGAATCAACAGGGACCAACATCTATCCACTTTTAGCCATGTCTTTTCTCTTATATGTCAATTTAAAATTCATTTCAGTATATTAACAGATTATGTAAATGCGGTAATAGATTAATATGAACCTTTCGGAATAAATGCATAATGGACATCATAAAAAACACATTGTTACCAATGTTTGCTCCCCTTTCAACAAAATAAAAAGTTATAAAAATTAAAAATTAAAGGTTATATATATATATATATATATATATATATATATATATATAACAAATTCAATTATTTAGTTATAGAGAATTTATCCTTTTTAAGTTCTTGAATGACTTTCATTGCCGTGATAACATTTCATTTAGTAAATTATCCGTGGTTGATTTACTATTTGCAAAAACTAGTGACAATTGCAATATTTACATAAGTTTAGTATCCATTAGGTTGTTAGAAAAAAACAAATTGTGTCAATCTAATATTGAAAAGAATTCATCATCTTATTATGAATAAAATAACATTAGTTTATATCTATTAATTTTCTATTAATCTTGTATTTTTTATATCTATTAATTTTCTATTAAAATATTTTTTCTAAATATAACTTACATTTTTATAAGGTATTTTAAAAACTTACTGACAATATAATTTTTATGATATTTTAAATATATGATAATTAAACCATTTATTTTTTTAATAAAACGTTACTTTATTAAATTTTAATCAATATGTTGTTTTAAACAAAATAAACAAGGGAGAAAAGTTTCATCTTATTAGCATATATAAGGACATAAATGTCATTTACTTAGAACATGGACAAAATGAGTGTGTATTTAAAAATGAAAAAAAAAACTGTAAATTATTTTATTAAAAAATAAAGAAGTATATTTCTATTTTAAAACTATAAGAGGCATGAGTATCTCTGTGTAGTAATTGTTTTCATTTAAATGCCAATAATACATATTCATTAATTAAATGTACGGTTGTTACCTATTTTTGGATGAAATATGAAAGAATGAAACTTCTTAGTAATAGAATTTATCAAAAGTATGCATTATAATTTTTTTTGTGATGATAATTACAATTAACAAAAGTAAATCTTTATTATAACGAATTTTATTATAATGATCATTTTTAAGTTCTTGAATGACGTTCATTGCTGTGATAAAATTTATTTAGTAAATAATTCGTGTTTGATTTACTATTTGCAAAAACTAGTATTTTTTAAAAGATCAATTTGATACGTAGAAGTAAAAAAGTTCAGGGATCAATCTGTACATATTTATTGATACGTAGGAGTAAAATAGTTCAATCTAGTTTTTTAATTTTTTCTGAATGCAACAACGTGACTTTTTTGGTATGTTGAGATTGAAGTTAGTTCTACAAAATCTTGGTTATAAAATTGTATTATATAGAAAATAAACTGTCATTATTTTTTATTTGTTAACCATTTTAATACTAAAGTAAGAGTCATTAAACCTCTGGAGATGATATGCTAGGCTCTCGGATTGTGTTTGTATTACTGGAAGGACATGTAGCAAAGAGTCTAATTTCTTGCAGAAATTTGTTTCATGTACAGAATTTGACCTTGTGGGTCCCGAAGGTCAATCGACAAAACCTGTTGGTGTTCCCCACAATCCTGACATTATTGTGAGAGTAAGCCCACAAATGAATACTGAAATGATGATAAGCTTAGATATCGGATGACATCAACCTGATTATGCAGTAATTGCTGGGCTATTTTGATATTCATATTTTTAATATTTTTAATTCTAGGAATATTGAAATTAGTGTTTACTATATATTATGAGGAGATGCCAATGAGAAGAGATTATGGATGTTTTAGCTAGAAAGATGGTGGTATGGTGGTGTGGTGGCCGTTCTAAAACGATCATTTGAGTGGGCTGTACAAACAGTAACTGATGCGTGCTCTGATAAGTCAGTGAGTTTTATTTTGTATATGTTGTAGTGTTTTTACCGTGCAAACGGGATTAATTTTCATTACTACAATTAAAAGTAATTAAATTATATGTTACAATAATGTTAGAGCATTTGATGATCTTCACTAAAATGACTTAAAGATAATGAGATTTATCCTGAACTTCATAAATCTGTAGTTAAATGTTATAATTTCACAATTGATATCTAATATATACATAAATGTGAACTGAATGAATTATGATTAAAGTTGATCTGTATACCTTTTAAACATTTTCAAATATTTTTTCGTAAAGTACATTTACAGTTGATCATTTTTACCATAAATGGTTACATTTTTATTTAATCTAAAATGAGTAATCTTCTTTATCATAAATAAATGATAGAATGAAGTCATTAACTTTTTATAGACTTTGTTGTAAGAAAAAGTTAATCCCATCATAAAAAAACTAATATTCATCATGCAAGAAATAAGGATAAACAAACTACATCAAAGAATGTAATGGTGAATGTGTTGAATGAGAGAAGTTCTTGTGGTATTTTAATATTGTCTACATTTTTATTCAAATTCATGTATTTATTTTTAAATTTTAGAATCTAATAAGCAAATTTTTTTACAGTTGTCCACTTTCATTTGATTTTGTTGTTTTTAATTTCATGTTGTGACAACTTTAGAACTTTGACCTATTGAAAAAGTAAATAATATATCAAAAACTAAATAATGTGGCCATTACTAATAAGAGTATTTTCTCCTGGTATTGTAGAAACTAAACTTTTACCTCACATGGTAATATTGGCCAGATTTTGACTAAATGAATTTCCTTTTTCTTCTGGCACTTTCGCAATCATTTTTAATTGTGAAGAAATTAAATAGTCCCTTCTGAAAAAAATAACTTTCATAACAGTAAAAATTAAATAACCAAAAAGTGCCCACCAATTCTTAATTTAGATAACGTTGTCGTATTTCCAATATAAGATTTCATTTTGAAGGTGTATATGTTCAGTTCCATCTACAATGACATTGTTAAAGTCGTAACTGATTGCACATAACAAATGCAATTAAAACAATTAACTAAATTTGTTATTTTTAATAATGATTACTAACTACGAAGAAGTTCCACGACCACTGTCAATTGTTATGAACTGATCGATATTGTTGCTGTCAATAAGCGCGATTTTGTTTTGTATTGCTGTAGCTATGGTGAATGTAAATCATGAGTACTTCAAATAAGGTTTTATTTTGTTTTACATATCTGACATATTTTTCGATCATAATAGTTGAAATACATCAATCTTACCGCAAAATTTTAACTCGGACAATGGTTTCCAATTTCCAATATGAAGTACATTATGAATATTTCTCGATTCATTTCCATCTACAATACAAATGATGAACTTATTATTATATATTCCACAAATGAGATAGAAAATCATATTGATGTTAATATGCAGATTTCTGGCTTCGAATAATACTAGCTAATATATAAAATATTATAACATATACCAATTCTCTAATACAGCAATGATACTCAACGTATTTATGGTGTTTATCATGCTTCAATCATGTTGTTCTTTGGCATAAAAAACTTATGACTGATTATATGGATAAAATTCATATTCTTTTTCATGAATTTAATGAGCTTTTGTCTCTTGCCTTTGCTCCTGCCTTTTCATTATATTGGCATTACATTATGTTAAAAAAGAAGTGCTTAACTTCTCATACCAAGAGCGAGAGGGGGAGGGGTGAATTGATGATGCGTAAAAACGTTTGCTTTCAAAATCTTTTTCGCAAAGAAGGATGTCTTTGAACTTTTCTTGAAATGCAAGTAAGTTTGTATGTAATGCAACATTAAGCTTAATTGAGTGCAATGACAGATTAATTGATTATATGTAGAGATAGGGATCAGAGAAATCAAACGCTGCTTTTTATACTGGTTCGGCCAAGCCTACATCTAGTGTCCTTCCAATCAACCTGAGTTGGAAGCCAGTGCACTATAAAGATCTAGGCTTTTACAGCGACCTCACGTTAAAATGTAAAACACTTCTTTAACCCAATAATCTAAATATAGGTCGTACAACAACAAGACACGCAACAATAACACCCTCTTCTGCTGTCAAACCTTTTGAGACATTCTCAAAGTCAAGAACACAGTTCTTCTTCCTGTATACACCACATGGAACTCCAGCAATTCTAAGCGTTT